ACTCCAATCGGAGTGCGAGTGGCTTTCTTGTTGGCTGTTCGTTGTCTGCAGAGGCATCTGCTGCTGCTCTGGCACCCGCCCTGTACATTGGTTTTTTTTCCAGTTAGGAGTGCGATGGGACTAATTGGATCTTCCATTGTCTAGTCCCGAATTGGGGTGAGCCCTGGGCCAGGCTGTATAGCTTAAATACAACTGTTAAGGCTTCTATATTATGCAATGAGAGTGACTCCTTGACGGTAGGTGGACAGGGCTTAGCACTGATATCAGTTTTAAATATCACAGATGAGGGTTTTCTCCTCAGTGAAACTATTGGCAGGCACCTTATGGGACCTGCTTTTAGACTAGACCTTTGATTTTAAAACTTAGATAATCACCTCTGCTGACCATGCTACCGATCTCTGCTGAAGTGAAGAGGAATTCCCAGCTCAAGAATCTTTGAAAAACCAACATTTTCAGGAGTCACCAGCCCCTATGTCACTACAGTAAACAGTAGCAATGTACTGTAGGCATCAGTAGATTGAACTGAAAAGCACAGTAGGTGGCCAGGAAATCCAAACCTTGGAAATATTGGATCCCGCAGGATATACAGCAGATATATTGTCAGAGATCAGAGTGCTGGCAGCGGGAGGTGAATATCCAAGTTCTTCACAGAAGTAGTAGGTTTATTTTAGGTTTTGTTTTAAAGACCAAGTTGCTTTAAGTGTGATCACAGTTGAAAAGAAAAAGCATTCTTCTTCGGGAGAGCAGAAACAGATGTAAGTATGTAAGGAGGAGATAAGAGTAATCTCTATCAGAATAGTGGAAGAGTAATGACCTGGAGGTTAAATACATTGCTTAAAATGGAAAGGGAAGAGTTATTGATGGCTTCATAAGTTAAGCAGATAAAAAAGCAATTATATAACAGCAGTGGCGACTCTAGGAACAATATATAGGGAGGGCACATAAGATACAACAGTCAAATCTGGGGGGGCACTAATAATTGTCATTGCATGTTGCAACTGCAGGGCGCCGAGAGCTGATTTAATTGCGGATGGCATCTGCGCCCTGCGGTTCTGACATGTAGTCCAACGCCGCCCACAATCCTCAATACCACAACCCTTTATTTTTAAAAAACTTTTTTTTTTATTAAACAAAATTTTTTTTATTTTTTTTACATTTTTACCTATTTATTTATTTAACTAGCATCTCATATTTTCATTGCTGACTAATTGCACCAAAAAAAGCCAAAAAATTCTAGACATAATTTATCACTCAGTATGAGTGTTCTCAAAATTAATATTTATGGATAGCAAGTACATGGATGAATATGTCTACATTTAAACTTTATACAGATGTCTTCATTGGTAATGTATGCCATTAGTTAGATATAAACTATAGCCAGTTATTTCCAGAAAATACTTTAAGCACACTTACACACAAGCGCCAGCTCCCTTACACTGTAGATGATGCTGGCAGTGAGCCCCAGGTGCAGAGTATTGCCTCATGTTAAACTTGCGTTAACAGGAAGTGCCTGAACAAGGACCTTTATGCAGGATCACTAAGGATTATTTTTAATAAAACCACAAAAAAAACGTTGCATTCCAAAAATAACGTTTGAATATACATTATTATGTTAAAAGTGTTTGGGACATTGACTCATTATTATACTTTCTCTGGGAATGTCTGTGACAATGTTAACAGACTCAATCAAAGACTGTCTGGTGGAAACATTCTTCAAGCATTATGTTTCACCTTGTTCCAGTGCTGATGCAAAGTAAATGCATGGAACTAACCTGGCTACACGGCCTCGTAGATCACCAATTCCAGATAGATGTTTCCTATCCAGGTGCTGTACTGCAAAGCTTGTTCCTGTGCTCACCGTGTCTCTGGTTCTGATCTCATTTTCTAAAACCTACAACAGTAAAGAAAACCAGGCATTATTCTACTGACCATGACAAATCACACCCTGCTGAATAAATAATGTCTTGTCCTATGGCTGGAGGAAAGGCTTTTCCCATGAACTCCCCTGACACACTCAGAAACATGTATTCAGTGTACTAGAACATGAATAAACTGTGTCTAGCTCTGAATTATTACATTGCTTGCTTGCTTCTTATAAATGCCTTTCTATTTGGCCAATACATATATCAGAAAGTGACATTCATTTGTAGTCATTAGAAATTATTATGCCAAAAAAAGAATTACGTCAATTAATATAAAACAGTATGTATGCTTTAGCCAATAATGGGTGATATATTATATGAGAATGTTTAAAAAGAACCACCTAGACTATAAGCCTTATCAAAAATTAAAACTCTCTCTATGTTATTAAAGACATTTTCCTTTTTTATGACAATCAGGCAGAATACACAAACTGGCCTTTTTAGAAACCTTTTTTTTATTTTATTATATGTTGTCCCTCCCCATACCAACAAGTGAGACTTATAACATGGCAAAGACTCCCAAAGATATGGATAGGGATAGCTATAAACTTTATGCTGTGAAATTATTCCTAACTAGAGACTTTCCGACTACTAAAGATGCCTCTAAGGCAGCGGTGGGCACTTCATTTTCTCAAACCAATTAACGCAACGTACCAACCGAGCGTTACAGTGTGGCAGGTGCGTTGCATTGGCATTAATTTGAATGGCACGTCCTGACTCCAATGCAATCGACCACACCACAACACATGGTACCGCAATACAGAGCAAAAACACTGCAAAAAAGTAGTGCATGCAACACAATGCACCCACCGCACTGTAATGCACTGTTAGTGGCCTGTGCAGTACCATGCGTTAATCGCATGGCATAGGTGTGAACAGGCCCTGAATGAAGCTTTATTGTCCCCACATAGTATGATACTCACAAGTATGTGACACATACCTTTTGTTTTTCTTCTACAGGCAGGATCCGGGAGAAGAAGCTTCAGGTGGAAGACAGAGGAAAAACTGGAGGCAGGAAGACATGTGTCACTGGTTGTTAGGACTGCCCATTAGTCCTAGCACCCAATGACTACAGAGGAGGAAGACCCCTGACATAATTGGTCGCTAGGATGCCAGCGGTCCTAGCAATCAATCACTGAAGAGGAACGCGGTCTGCACACAGGCCAATCATCGACCTGCGCTGGGCTATGGCTTGCAGTGGATGCCCCGGCTTTAGAGGCCGGCGCATCTACTGTCAGGCAGCCATAAACTAATGCAAGTCAGCGATTGGTCCATGTACGAACCATGGGCCAGACAGAGACAGACAAAGGACCGGGTACTGCTCGTGGGCCGTAAAATGCCTAGATCTGCTCTAAGGGCTTCTGAACAATTGTTATTTTCTTGCTTTTGATTTTGAAGCATTGTTAAATGATCCTTTATTCAGTACTTCAATTTCAGATACAATCTTTTTGAGAAGTACACATTTGTCTATGTCTGTAGGTGCTATTACAATGTGATTAAAATGCTATTATCCTCCATTCAAGTTAATGGGTATGCAATGTAAACATGGCAAACACATCACAAATGCATCACAAATTTGTCTCAAATTGACCCCAAGTGCAAGTCCATTTCTTTAAATCATCTTGCAGTCTGATTTGTTTTTGAGTCTGATGTCCCTGTACACTAACTTGAAGGTGACCATACTGAACGGATCCCAGTGCTCAGAGTGGAACATCCAAAGCCCAGACTGATCTCCTGTTTACCTGACATACACATGCTTATGGGATAATACAATAAAATGTTTGGCTACCATGACTCATCTCTGTTCTATTATCACAAGAAGGAGATTTAACAGATATTCAAAGCCACCTGTTCTCTTATTATACAAATACAGTCAAACCGCACACAATGCTATGTGACAGTCTCATTGTCACAGGTCGGCTTAGAACTATGAGGTGAGTGGAAATCACTCACCTCATAGTTCTCCTATAACTGTTCCATAATCAGCCATATCTTCCTGTGTGCGGCCACATTTGGATGGCTCATATTAGTATTATTGGCTCTATTGCAGTGACTAGCGGGTTGTGATTGCCACATTAACAACATTTGTAGATGTGTCATTGTGTACCTCTATATCTTTACTAAGCTGTTTAACTATTTGTGTGACGATCTGCATGTGATTCTCAAGCAGCCGCTGAGCCATCAAGTCCCACTGTGTGCCGCGATTGCCTCTCAGCATGGAAACATCCTCTTTAATCTTGAAGGCCTGTTCTAGAAGTATGGTGGTTGTCTTTTCCTGGTTAGATAACCTGCCTTCCAGAAACTCCATTTTACCTCCTGGAATGGCGGGCAGGAAGGACTGTCCCCTGAATAAACAAAATAATGTTAATTAAAACACATAAACTCTGAAAGGCAGATGTTTTGCATCATGATTGAAAGTCTCTGTAACCAACTCCACATCCAAGCTCCATATATTGTTCATGTCATAGAGTACCTCTGGTACTACCAGATAAGAAATGTTCAGGTGAATCTGTAGCTAAAAATGGGTAACCAGTATTATTATAAGCTATGTGTATGTACAATGGGGTTGAGTTACTTAAGGCAAATAAGCTGTTCACTTTGCTAGAAAATTTGCCCTTTACAAGGGGTATTTCTCTTAGCTTGGTAAATGGGATGGAATTTCACTTCAAACAATACCCAATTATGTGCAAGGAGAATAAAAAGACAGTATTTTTGTTTGCACAACTACATGGCAGATGAGGTTTAATGTCGAAAAATGTAAAGTAATGCACTTTGGGGTTAAAAACAGGCAAGCGGATTACACGTTAATGGGGACTCCACTAGGGAACTCAGAAATGGAAAAAGATTTGGGGGATCATAATTGACCGCAGATTGAATAACAGCACGCAATGCCAGGTGGCGCAAACAAAGCGAGCAGAGTACTGTCTTGTATTAAAAAGGGAATGTACTGTAGAGACAAAGCGATAATTTTGCCACTTTATAAATCACTGGTTCGGCCTCATCTTGAATATGCAGTCACCAGTCCACAGAAAAGATGTTCTTGAGCTGGAGAAGGTCCAAAGAAGAGCAACTAAGCTAATTAAGGATCAAAGCTATGAGACAAGGTTGCTCAATGTAAACTTGTTCACGCTGGAAGTGAGGAGATTAAGAGGGGACATGAATTTGTTGTACAAAATGTTTAGTGGTCAAAAAAGACAAACTTGACATGGTAAGTCTTAGAAAAAAAGATAATTCAATGGACCAAGGTACAAACTGGCAGCTCACCAATTGTAGGCTCCAACCTTCTCCCTATATTATGAGACATGCACAAGTGACAGTAAACGGGTATAGTCAGCCATTGTATTTTGCTGCTAAAGCTGGGATATGTTTTATCATGCTGGTCACACTGTTTTCCCCAGCAGGGGCAAAATTATGCTTTCTTTGGGATAAGCAAGGGGGTGCTGTGTGTAGGAGAGAGAGACACTGCATGCAGGCTGTACTGGAACAGCCTGCACGTCTAAGCTGACCCAAAAATGTCTCTAAACTAGCCAGAAGGCTGAATGTGTGTTGTATATTGGGCGGGCTGTGCTGACATTGACCTCTGCAAAGAAAAGGGACTCCAAAGAAAAAGTATATACATATATGTATATATTTGATCAACTTATATTTGATCAATATTTTTTCCAATCAACTTTAATAGAAAATTAAAAAAGAGAAAACATCAAAGTTCCCTGTTATCAACACACAGAGGACATATGTGGTTTATAGCAAACACAAATTGCGAATCTTACAATAAAAAGCACTAACAATTAATTTCTTTATTGTAACAGAGCAGTGATTTACTTCTCCTTCACCTAAATCAGCTCCTGAAACTTCCTGCTACATTCAGGGAAGCTATAGAGTCAATTTAAATTCTTATTAAGCCAGGGAGTCGGTTTGAGTCACTCTAGTGAAAGCTCATTAATTCAAGTTAAAAGTTATATGTGAGTTTTGCTGTTTGAGCAGCACTACGGTAACAGTTATCTCAGTACCCAGACACTCAAAATCCCCTCTTTATTGTGTGCCGCATAGGAGCCTATTTTAGACTAGTGACAAGTATGCAGATCTACTAGTCAGCTGCAAGGTGTGCCTGATCTCAAGGTGCCCCTGCAATGACATATTTCTAAAATAATCACCAACATTAAGGACATGTAGGTTACATATCAAGACAAAGAGATATCTGCTAAGATAACAAATGGCTGTCATAGAAACTGAAATTGTTTAAAGGCCTCATCAGTAGACATGTGCGATTCGTTTTGGAAAGATTCGTTTTTCAGACACATTTTCGGAAATTCAGACTTTTGGATGCATCCGTATTTCCGAATGACAGAAATAACGAATGAAAACGAATAGGAATTTGTGATAACGAAAATTTCGGATGCATCTGAATTTCTTTCCGGAATGAAATTTTATTGTGTTAAGCATCAACTTAAAAAAAAAAATCTAAATTTTCGTTAGCGGTTGTATGTACGAAGTTTCATTACCAACGAATATTCGTCTGTAATGAAATTTTGTACATAATACTGCTTACGAAAATTCAGATTTCACCCAAATCCGGATACAAATTGACTTTTGGACCCGGATCCCGGAAAACAAAATAACGAAAAATCTGAATGAAAATGAAACAAAACAATTTTTTTTCCAGCACACATGTCTACTCATCAGTCTCTGTGTGTTCCTTGTATTATAAAATAAGCAACTGTCATTCGCCTGGGCTGACTCTGTCATATATGTTCTCTTTGCATGGTCATACAGTATGTGTTGTGGATTAGGTAACACAAAACACAAGCACAATATAGGTGGATTAAAGGTATCTATAAGCATGAGATATGTATCACCAAATATAACTGATCAATCTTTGGGGAACAACCATATCACTTTACATGTTCAGTTAAAGTGATAATAAAGTCAAAAGGTTTCATTTCTAATGCTGATTAAATCTCTTACAATGGAGGCTGCTTCTTAATGTTTAAACGTTTTAGTTTCCTGCAGAATCAGCTGGTCCCCTGAGCACTGGCCCTGATATTCTGTTTCAGGGTGGCTCCTTTCCCTTGCAGGGTCCTATGGAGCCACCTTTGTGTGTGCTAGTAAGCTATGTGTTTCTCCACAAGCACAGGTAGGCGAGACCCTCCCCTGCTCCCAGCTCCTCCCACCTCCACTAGATGAATAGTTGCTGGAGACTGCTCTGTCCCTTGTGATCTTGTGCTGGACAGGAAGTTCAGGAAAGGAGAGTTGATAGAGTTGGAGTCAGCTTTTTGGAAGCATGATTGTAAGTATTTGGGCAAAAATGTAAGAAATACTTTGCTGGGCAATGTATAGTTGTTTGATCTGGAATCGTTATTGAAAAAATGTTTGAGAGTTTATTACTACTTCAAAATTTCAGAAGTAGCATTTTGGTCATGAGTCAAGTCATATTATCTTGTAATAATTCCTGTTTATCTGGGAGTTTCAGGTGTTCCTGCCTACCCTTTTGCATAGTCTGGCACCTCGTGTTGTATTCTGCTTAATATAAAGTAGATTCAAATTTCAACACACAGAGTGGGAGACCCACATAATGGCCACAGCAGGTGTCCAGACCCAGGATCAAAACAGCAGATATCTCACTAAGGGCCCTTTCAGATGGGCATTCCAATCAGGTCGACTGGTCAGTTTTTCAGGCGGATCTGATCGGAAGCCCAATGTTAGTCTATGGGCAGTTGGATCTAAACAGACGTGCGTCTGTTTACATCTGATTACCCCCGGCTCCAGCCAGGTCCAGAAAAACAGACGGATCAGAGTTCTGTTTCGGCAAACCTGAATGTTGCGGATCGGGGGTAATCTGATGTAAACGGACACATGTCTGTTTACATCCAATTTTCCGTAGACCAACTTGGGTCTGGTAATTTTATTTTTTTCCTCCATCCCAAGATGGAGGAAAAAACTGGACAGACAAGGATGTCACAATAGTGACAGCCATTCTGATCAGCAGTGGATCCATGCACGGATCCCCTGCTGATCAGAACTGAAGGCACCCATTTGAAAGAAGCCTTACAGACTAGTAACTAACTGGTGACTCAGTAAGTAACTCTATGGCATCTACCAAATTTTAAAACATGAGTTTTGGCTGGACTGATCTTTTAAGACAACTTGTTCCATGTCAAGTATAGTTCAAACTGGCATTACCTGTCATGGTAAGGGATGAGTTGCACAGAATTTTCTCTTGACATTTCTCTTGAGTTCTAAAAGGAGAATATAGCAATGTAAATGTAACTTTCATTACCAGAAGGATTAGTGCTTATGGTATACAGCCTGACCCACGTTTCCTGATTACACAAACAGTATTTCTACTATTATACATATACTCACTGCAGATTTATGGACTTTCTACCTCAATTTGCTGTCAGTCTTTGTTGCACATATGCCCTACCCTAATATGCCCTACCAACTAGAAACAGGCAGACATGAACACATAAATAGTTTGGCATACAAACTCAAATAAACAATAAATCAACACAAACTAAACAGGTAAAAACGGGTCATATTATGTGAAATAGAGGTAGGCTGGGTTCACACCTAGGCGTATCAAATATGTGCGTTGTCACGCGTTTCGTGTCGTGCGTTTTTACCGCGATTTATGCGCGTTTCCGAGGGCTACCTGGCTGTATACCGATGGATACGCGCGGCAAATACGCCCCAAAGAAGCTCCTGTACTTCTTTGGGCGTAGGGCGTTTTGTAGCGCGTTCATACGGCCTGCAATATTTCGGTGTTTGAGCGGTGTTCGTGTTTGAGCGCTTTGCAGAGCGTAGGAACGCGCTACAAAACGCCAAGGTGTGAACCGGGCCTAAATGGAACTACAATAAGCTCTGGATACATGCTTGTGTGTCCATGCTATAACATCACATACTGGGCTGTGCTCTGATACATTTGATGCTGCCCATAGAAGATAGCTGGGTTGGAAACAAAGACCAGTGTTATAGTCCATTTTAAATTTATCACATTTGAGAATGGTCATCTGTAATGGAAAGTTATATAGTTAAAGTGGCCATACATTGAATTTTGGCCATTCTCTGCTGTATCGGCCAAAGTTGGATATGTGGGAGACCCTGCTGGCACCAGCTGGCTTGCCAAAAGTCAATTTTTGTTGAAGGAGCTGAGTGGAAAATGAATGGCTAAACACAGACTACAGCCAATCAGATGCAGTCACTAGTCAGGTATTCTGATAGCCATGGGCGATGGCTATCAGAATACAATACAATAGCCAGCAGGGGAGAGTCTGCCATTCACGCTCTTTAGTGTGGACGGAGGGAAAATTAGTGATATTTCTTGTCTGTTTTTCCTGCGGGGCTGAACAAGAAAAATCTTACAGTGTATGGGCAGGCAATTATCCCCATATGGTAGTAGTGACCTGGAAAAAAAGTGCTCCCTTGCCAATTCTTTCACATCAGAGGGCCCCCTCTCACATTAACCCTCTTTACCGCAAAAGCCAACCCTTCACATCAGGAGCGCTTTTCACATTAGAAGACCCCCCTTCACATCAGGTGCACCTCTTTCACATCAGAAGACTGCCTGTGCCATAAAAAGGCATGACACTATGCAAAAATTTCGAGGCACCCCTGAGTAAGCCAGACAGCACCTCAGGGTGCTATGGCGCCCTGGTTGAGAAAGGCTGTCATAGAGAATACTCTTTATTGACACTAAAAACATCACACAAAATTCACAATTCTACATAATCCCCCCTTCCCTAAAATTACAAATTGTTACTAAGCATTCATTCGACATATGATTATTTTGTAAAGCGCTGCGCAAACTATTGGCGCTATATATCTATCTTTTTTTAATATATATATATATACACACATACACACACACACACACACAGTATATACCCTTGATAGTATGATAAATAATAAACATCAATAAACCTTAGTCAAAGTACATATATATCTTATATCGTATTGAAAAGGTTTTGTCTAATTATCACTTAAGTTCTGCAAAATGATGAAATAAAACATAAACTGTCAGTAATTATTCTTAAGCACAAAATAAGTTGAAACAAATTTTGCAAAAAACAGCACACTAAATACAGCGCAATAGATTACACTCAGAGGTATGTTTGGTTTAGTTGAAGAAGTGACATTAGGAAATACAATCTTACTTACTTTTTCTTTTACTTTCTTCCTTTAGCTCTATATCAGCTCATTCCTCAGTTGAGCAGGCTGACAGTAGTGTACAGCGCCTCACCTGAGCACCCGATATCCTAGAAACCAGAGTAACCAAACAAGCTCTGTCGATGTATAACTTTGTCTAATCTCTTTCACAACCAGCCAGCCTTCCACAGTGTTATCTGGAGATCAGAGGAATTTGTATTGTGAAAAGTCCAGTGCACTATTTTTCAGTAGCTTTCCTATTTAATATCTGATACAATATTGCTCAATAACACCTATATTCACACTTGTGATCTAGTGTCAGCTCCTGTATACTTTTACATGTGACTTACAGGTCCCTCTCTACCATACTGCCATCACTTTGCTGCTTGTCTGAATAGGAGGCTGCTTTTGTTTAGAGCTGTTCCTAGGCTACAGGAATACTTCACTTAGTTGCTCATACAAAAGCAGGCTACTCTAGTCAATTATGTATTCAAGAATTCCATGATGCGGTAACTGTGTGAGCGTTTCCTAATCTCACGTGTCACAAGTAGAGAAAAGTAAACATAAGGTTGGCCATACGCTGATAGTTTCTTCTCGTTCAGCGCACAGGGATTCGCACATCCAGGTTGTTTCGTTTTACTGACTTTTACTTTTTACTATCATTTGTTCTGGGGGGGGGGGGGGGGCGCGTG